GAATCCATCTAATAGAGAATATCTAACTAGGGTCTAATAAACATATTAGAAGGAAAATTGACATTGATAGAGCAAGGGGGGTCAACTTAATGATAAAATTACCTAGATTTTTAGAGTAAAATCAATATATCTGTAGATATAAGTAGTATGTATTTTGAGGTAAAGAGTTTGTCATTTTGACATTTCCAAAATTTTCAAACACCTAACCCCCCAGTGATTCCCCTACCAATCGATCACTAATGAGATAGAATGATCAAATAAAACACCTGAAGTGACAGGGATCAGTGGATTTAGAGATATGGTCATTTAAGATGACCTGGTAGGCCTTGGCTCCAAAGTTACAGAATTGGCTTCTGGGTTCGGTTTATAAAACTAGACAACATTATACCTTAGATAGGTAATCACAGGTAAACTCAGTGAATTCAACTATTCAAACTCCATATATCACAATCTAAGTTGAATATACCTAGATTCATCACAATATCGCTACATGATGTGATGTAGATGCAGGTGAATGAGAGCTTAAGTAAGAATTTATGATAATCCAAATCAAATATTCATCTTGCCTATTAGATGCAAGTAGATAAAATATTCAACTCTCTAAATGAGGTCATGTAGAGGTGTTTTAGGAATTCAAAATCGAATCAACATAGCTACATGGAGTGGATTATAAAATAAATATATAATAGACATTAATTAATGGAGGTATATTCAAAGATTCAAGATGATCTGGGTAAGTAAATGTTGTCTTTAAATTAGTGTTAAGTATATCAAGTTAATTAATGACATGACAGCATAATGTTAATCATGCTGCTGTAGGGATCAATTATTTTTGTTAATGAATTCTACCAAGCTAACATACTAGGGGTGCTGTAAAGCTTTGGCCAATGGTGATCGCTTGGTGTAATCTCTCTTAAGTAGACTCCTCATGAGTTCAAAAGTCTCGTTGCAAAGTGGCTTTTTACATGGCATTACTTTCAGATTTTTGTTTTTAGGTGCCTATTTTAACCATCTATTAACCTCTTCGACTGGATATGGAAATTCATTGTGAATTATATAGTAGCATAATACTCCTACACTGAAGCAATCAGCAAGTTGTTTATCATAAACTACAGAATGGAATTACTCTGGAGCAGCAAAATCTTAAATGAGTTTAAATGCAGGATCTTTAGAATCAAATGTTACTGGTGTACCCCATGAATGTATTTTAAGATTGCTTTATCCAATGATGTTTATAGCTTTGTCGCTAAGACTGCCGTGGTAAATCTTCTTCTTGTGAACTTTACTCATGGACTCTATAAGATTTACAATAAGTTTTGCTTTATCAGCAACTACTGGATGTTGAACCTTCAAAAATTCTTTGAATTCCATACCAGAGCTCTCATAGATAGTGAAGATTTTTTCAGCTTTGGTATCTAACTATGTAAATGGCAGAATTCTACTATCGTTTTTAAATTATGCTAGCATCTAGTTGGTTTACTCGATTGTATCATACTACTGTAATTGAACTAATCTTTTGCATGACAAGTGGGAAATTCTTAGAAGATATTGACTAACTTTAGGTAAAGCACCTTCAATTGGAATAAAATCGCATTTGAATCTCTCTCCAAATATATCTGCTGATAGCTCCTTCTAAGGTTTGATATAGACACTTTAAAATGATTCCTATAGGAGTTTAATCTTCAACCTACCAGAACTCATAAGATTTTAAGAGATAGTCTTCAAGTATTCATTCTTAACACTGGTACAGATGCTGAACGCATTTTTGTTTTTACTCATCTACTTCTAAACTCTCTTCTTCTACTAGTTCATTCTAAGGTAAGATTCCTATATTTTTTTTCTGTACTGTTAACTCAACCGATTGAACTAATCATCCTGGATAAATACACTCAACTCTGACATATCATCTTGCTACTACTACTACTCATCTTCAGACTCTATAAACACTGCATCATCTAAATCTAAAATCATTGACTTTAGCGCATCTGCTAGACGACTATTGACTTGATACTCCATTTCAAGAGTGTTAACAACTTTATCAGTAATCACTTACTCATCTATAACTAGAATTTAATTACTAGGTTTGGACTAAGATGTAGCAGGTTAGATACTTTCCATTACAGATTTTGAAACTATATCTGCTATCTCATTACCCTTGGCTTTACTAAGTATATTTATAGCTTTACCGACCCTCGTTTATTTGACTTCAAACCATCCTTGACTAATCTTGGCTAGATTTTCTACTCTACTAGTAAAAGTTTCAAGAGTAATTCCTTTTGAATTCCACTTATATGTGCTCAACTGGCTATTGTAAAGGTTTAAAATCATCCAAGTCTTTTATGCACCTACAGTTTGGAATTTAATCACATCAGCAATCTCAAGGTGACTCTTGATCTTAGCAATTTATGATTATTCATTAATTACCCTTTTAGTAGCCTAATTTTATTCTCTAGTAGCTTTCATTGACTAAAGTATTTTTATAGCAGTGTCTAACTTCAATCCATGTTTATCAAGAGACTCGATTGAATATTGTTATGAACTTATCTGCAGGTCTCTAAGAAGATTTTGAAACAAAGTTTCCTAACTCACCTCAGTTGTAAATAAATCGGGAATTTACAAATCCTAGATAGGCTCAACTTGAAATTGAATTTCATTTACTAGAGGTACTTTAGCAGTAGATGTTGATTTAACTATAGTAGCTTCAGGTATGTTCAACTCTATTCTCTTGTAAACATACATCTTATGTGATTCTTTAGCACCGGCTAGTTTCACTTTGAAATCCTTATGAAGTTGAAATTCCTAGAGTCCAAATGTTTTAATGGTAGTATGTTCAGATTTGTTCCAAGCAAATACCTGCAGGTAAGGAGAGTTTTTAATTAACTTCACAAGGTGATCATTATCATCGTCATTGAACCTGTAGTTATAGGTGTACATATGTGAATATGGTTTGTTACTAGGAGTAGTCAATGATGCTAGTTCATTAGAATTCTTGAAGTAGAATTCAACTCGACTGAGGCACTCCGATAGTAAAGTGTTATTAGTGTACTCGACTCTATATTGTTTAAGTTTTTAAACACTAAGATCATATCTAGCATCCACCATTTCATAGCCGTGACATTCCATAGGTGTAGTTAAAGCAAAGTCAAAAACTAATTTACCAAACCCTGACCCGATATCTGCAAAGATGCAATTGTTAGAACAGCCAATATCTTGGAATATAGAGATAAGTTTTTTCACTGCTCCTTAAGTAGCTTCTCCGTAAGCAGGTTGAGACTTATAGTTATTGAGTTAGGGATTCTTAACAATAGATGAGTTGCTTCTAGTTAGGTGAGTTGGATTATCATTATCATTATTGGGAATAATCTTGTTATTGATGGTCCATAATAAATCACTTTCCTTAGTGATTTATGTGTACATAATCCTTCTAAACTAGTCAATCCCTAGTTAGGTATTTATGAGATTCTAATCCATATTATTTAATTGATCCTACTCTTGTAGAACTGCCACATCTGTATAAGTATCGTCAGTTCCTGTCACATTTGACTCTGAAATTGCTCTAATTGATGAGAGTTAATCACTGCTTTTAGATATATTTGATGTTTCACTAGGTGAGTTATCATCTAATTACTATCAAAAATTAAGATACTATATATATTACTTCTTCAGTAGAGCTAAGTGTCTACTGGTGAGATAGTTAAGGAGTTGTTGCTGCAGCTCTCTTAAACGCACCTAAGTGCATATTGCTTGGATAGGTAATTTGTTTCTTACATACACTCGGCTTCGTTTGATTTTGCTCAATTTGAATTTAACTGTCCAGTATTTTTGACTAAACAACTGGGGAGTTAATGTTAAAAAGTTCATTGTAATTCTACTTATTCATGCTTAGAAATTTCTTATCAACCTTCGGAGGTTGCATCTTAGAGTTCACCTAGAAAATAAATATAGTGGGAATTCAAAACTTACCTTCATAGGTGAGTTAGTTTTAGAACCAGGTACAAAAAATTAATCATATTTAACCTCTTCATCTGGGTGGTGTTTTAGGAATTCTTTGATATGAGTTGTGAACTCATCATCATTACACGACTCAACATGTGCTATGTTAGATTTTTAACTTTCACTTTCATCTTAAGATGAGGTGAGTAGGGATTTAGAAGTTTTAAACTACATCCTCACCTTACATCTTCGTTTGTGATTCCGTAAAGAGTCCTTAGATTTGAGTTTCAAAGTACAGTAGTCACAGGAGACTGTATTATCCTTCTAGATGTTGAGCTTCTTTTATGCAACTACATCCCAGTGATTAGCATTCATGTGTTTTCTAAGTGATTAGACAAAGGCATATGATTTTTAACAAATTTTGCAGGTGTTTGAATCCATAGCAGTTAAGAATTTTAATTTAAATTTATAGATATGGAGATAAGAAAAATTCAAAAATACCTGAGTTGATTTTTTCGATTCATCACTATCTTAACCCAGGACCATTTAGACATCTCAAATCTCTAGAGAGTTGTTACTCAGGTACCCTAGTACGAGATAAAAGTGAAAAGATGTTTGAATTAAATAAGTGAGGATAGTAGTGATCGAATGGCTCCTGAGTTCGGGGGTTACCACAAATCTATTAATCATTAATGTCTAAGACTTTGATTCTTAATTACCTGTATATCTACGATTAAGTTCAAATTCAATTTCAAATCCACCTCACTTAAGCACTTTGGGGTTTCTATTTTTCTTAATATTAAGATTTTTCGAAGATAGAATCGAAGATCACTTAATCTGTAATAGGGTATATGTGAGAAGTTTTTGATTGAATATAAGTTTGAATAGGGAAGGGACGAATGAAGTCATTCGTGTTTGTCATCTTGTCTTCTGGGTGCCTGGTACTAAGGCTGGTTTTAACTACCTTAAGTCTAGGCAGAGCCTGAGTACCTGGTCTCTTTGGATCTAAGAGAGATGTACTGCTCGTCAGCTCTAGGATAGTCATTGCCTTTGAACCTCTTGGTGGTGGTGGGTGTAGGATTGAAACCTGTAACATCAGCATAAGAGAAGTGAGAGAGACCTTTGTCTCTGTGTTCAATCACATTATCTCTATCAGGGAGACTTCTCTTCTTACTTCCTACATTAAGTAGGTTCAAGGCTCTGCCTCTCGAGCTCGGGTTGAGGTTGATGGCTCCTTTGATGAGCTGGTACATGTCGGCCTTGATTTCAATAAATCTCTTGTTCTTTCTAGCAGCCTCATCTTGTCTCAACTTTAATCCCATCTTGATGTTATGTTCGAAGAACTTTGGCTTCACAGTGTTGATTATCTAAATGCACTGAGTTAGAGTTCAACTTACGTTGAAGAAGAATTGTCGATTTAGAGGTCTACCATCTTTAAGATCTGGCAGGTACAACTCAATACCTCTGTCACTGTAAGCATCTTTAGTGATGGACTTTGCTGATAATTCAGACATCTTGGGAACATTTACCATGCAGATTTCATGGGTGAGGAACACCTAATGAATGAAAAGTTAATCTTACCTTCTTGCGACCGCTGAAGACTTCCCTCAAGAATTCGATTGAACAATCGGCATAGGGGGGTAAGTAGTACTGGCCTAAAACGATTTCGTTACTGAAGCAATCATACCTTGATTCACAAGAATCGAGTAGATCTCTTTCTTGGATTTCATGATGGATGCTAAAGCACTGGTTCTCACAGTGTTAACCACCACCCCATCAGAGTTCTTCTTCTGCTCCAAGATGTTCGAGTCCTTCTCGACTTCTTACTAAGCTCTCTCTTGGTTCTATCTACTCTAGGGTCTCTAGTATTCTTAGTAAGACTGGTATTGAGAGTCGGCGTAAGTTTCAATCGACTCTCGAGCTCTCTTACGATTTAAATCCATGGGGTCTTACCCGTACATATGCTGCTGCATGAACTTGTCATTCGACTGCTAGTTAGAGCCTTGGTTGTTCATCAAGTGGGCAGGAATTGACACTTGCTCCATTTAATCCTTGTCACGAGTTCCAGGACCATATTCATAGTCTGAGTCTTCATTGCCGATGTGATTGGCATCAGGAGTCTTACGCTCTTCAATTGCATGATTTTGAGCAGCATATTGCTGCTACTCGAGGGTTTGTTGCTGCAACTGATTATTGATTTATTCGAATTCATTCTACATCTAGGCATTCATTGCCTACCTGGCCCTATCAGTCTAGGGCAAGTCGAATCCACTCACTCTCGGAGTGGGTTATCTCTAAAGTCCAGCCCCATTTGACTATTTTATAAATCCAGAGTTTTTGACTTACCTGGGCGATTTGGCTCTCATTTCCCTCATCTAGAGCGTAATCGAATTCGTATCCAACTGAGGAGACCTCGCCTTCCTCGTACTAGCCTCCACCGTCTTGACGGTAGGGTGTCTGTTGATTGCTATTCATCAGTAAGCGACCAGAAAATTATAATCAGCTGCTGATTAACGATAGTTGTAGCTGCAATTACGATTTAATTTTATTTCTACTAGTGCAAGCTTTTTATTGCAAGGGCCTCTAACAGCTTCAAAATATGCTCGTGAATCGCAGGTATGTAGGGTCTGTAGTTACTGCAAAATTATATAACTGGTACATGTATGTTACTCGAACTTGTGAGAGTCTAGTGGTGAGTAAGAAAGTTATCGTTTCATTCACAAACCCTACATATTCAAATTTTGC